GCAAATTCAAACACAGCTAGGCCATCACAACCCTTATACTTAGGTTTTCTCTGTGTTTCAGACTTGCCCTTCTGGTTAATAAGGATAAGAAAGAGTCAGGCATGGTGGCATGGTCCTGTAATCCCAGAGCTCCAGGAGACTGAGGCAGGAGAATAGCAAATTCAAGCTCAGACTGGGCAATTTAGCAAAACCCTATAGGTAGACAGACAGACAGACAGACAGATAGATGATAGATAGACAGACAGATAGATGGAGGAAGGGGCTGGGATTGTAGCATAGTACAAAGATCCTGAGTTCAATCTTCAGTATCCAAAACAAAACAAACCAAATAGGGTTTGTTCCTATCTAGAGATAAGCTTGAGCTCCTTTCTGAGATTTAAGGAGAAACAAGTGTCTTTCTCTGGCACGTTCTTTAACATCTGTTTGTGCAATATGAGCTGAAACCCCACGTCCCTAACGCAGGGAAAACACTGGGGCTGGGTCCTGAGTGCAGCGGGAAGCAGCACAGGCACGGTGCATGGTGCCCGTGGCTTTGGCATCACTCTGAGCGGTGCTCAGAGCGGCTGTGGGAAGACAGGACTCCTACGCTCACTCACGATCTGGGGCGTGGGCAGGATGTCATCTCCACCCCAGCAGAGACGGCCGTTCTCTGAGCTTCTTTCCTGAAACACCGCGAGCACTTCGATAGTCTGTTCTCCCCTGAGACTACACTCAACTTCATGCCCAAGGGAGAAACACTTTACAGTGTTTCACGCGAGGCCGGTAATTACATCCGTAAACTGCTTAGAAGAATAGCATATATTTAGAACGCTTGTCTCTGAATGCAATCACTTTGAACTAGAACTATTTTGTTACTTTTAATTCCTTAAAATAGAAAAAAAAAGCAGAAATGTGTTTGGAGAACGTACAGTATCCTTAAAATCTTGCTTCGAATCAGTCTATTCTTCATTTTATCTGTGTACATTGCCTTTGTCAGCTTTGCTATTCGCATTCATCCTCTGGTCTCCATGAAGAAGAGTCTTAGGACGTATGTCCAATAGCTGCTTCATCGGTGGCCAGACAGTGTCCCTGAATAAAACTATTCCTCTGTGTTTATCATATATGTCTATTTATTTTAACTCTAATCTACACATGCTGTTTTAGTTACTCTCTCACTGCTGGGACAAAATATGTGTACAAACATATATTGAAAAAACACCAAAAACTTGTATTCTGATTTATATTTTGGTACATTTGGTGGAAACATTGGGAATCTCAAATTCCTTATTTTTGTAAAGAAAAGAAATACACTAAGAGCTGGCTCTGATCAAGTTATATTAAACACTGTACAGAAAGAAGTCAGCCAATAATGACTAACACTACTAACAGTCAGCTATGGTATTGAGTGTTGCACACACATTTCTTTATTTGCATCTTTCAACAACACCACGAGGTAGGTGACATGATTATTCCCATTTACAGTTCAATGCATAAGGCTTGGGAGGAACTTGCTCAAGAGCATATGCGTAGTGAGAGGGCAGAGGATAGGTGTATGGTCTATAAAACATGGATTCTAACCCACGATGCTCTGCGTACCAATCTTGACCTTCAACAGATCACTTACTTTTCTTTGGAATCTCAGGGTTTTTTTCTCAGAAAATGAAGGTTTCACAAGAATCAAAGGAGAGTCATAGGAGAGCTTCACAGAAACTCTCAGCTACATTGTTGGAAACTAAAACATCTGAGATATTTCTGTTTCTCCACTACAATATCAAGATACTTTTTTCTCCCTCAATCCTTTTTCTTTTTTAGTTCTTTATTGCTATGTCTTCTGAAATTCTCAAAATCATTGACTGTGTGCCTTCTAATCTCAATTAACAGACAAATGACACACAGCGATAGACTTTTACAGTGTAAACGGCTGGGCTGTCTTCCATTTGGAAGGGTGGGCTAGTTAGGGACGCAAAGCAGGGTGGAGAGGGCAGTGGGTGTAGCTGTGCTGCAGGTGGACGCTAAGTCACGACCTGTTTCCATGTATCCCCCTCCCCTCCCTGTCTGTTTTCACGGTAATCTCCACTCTGAACCTAAGACTGCTCATAAACTCATATGCTCTGGATAAGATTTTATTATTTTTAGTTAACCTAGTACCAGGCTGAATGTTTTCTTTTTATCCTCCTTTCCTAAAATCCCCTTTCCTTTTCAGTGCCCTCCCTGCTTTGTTTATTCTCATGGGATTCATGGGATTTTTCACATTTTCTCGTGTTAGTTGGCTTTTATGAGTGAGAGGAGACAAAGACTTGAGCTCTGACCACAACCATGAAACAGAAGCTCCCTACTTACATTTATTTTCAGAGAGAACAAATATTAATTTCAGGACACAAAACAGTGCTAGCCCCAGTGTAATTTCCTGGTATTCCTGCGTTCTATTGTGCAGGGTCTAGGAGACAGGGCACACCTGCCTGGAGCTCTGGGGCTTGTAAATTGTCATTTTGTCGGTGTGTGACCCTCTCAAAGGCAGGCAGTGCTTCCCACTTCGTTCTCTTCACCTGTCCCTCAAAAAAGACCACACCAAAAAACTCAATGCTTTGTTTTTTAATTACACGGATGAAACTAAAAATGAGAGGAACAAATAATAACGGGTTTTGTAAATCATGGAGAGACTTCACATTTTCCCACTGCAACCCTTCCAGTACCGTCATTTATTTCCCCAGCTGTCATAGGTACTTCTTGGGTTCTTCAGGCAGTAGTTTTTTCTGTGATGCAAAATTAAAAGGTTTAGAACTTTAAAATCTTATGTAACCTGTTTGTTTTCAGTAAAGATATTTGGGTTTGTGTCTGTGATGACTAACTCCTTAATTATATGTTTTTAAAAACATTTCCACTTAATCAAGTATACATATTCTCCAGTCCCACCTCAAAATAACCTTAGGAAGTAGGACAAATATTTTTAACTGCAATTTATAAATGAAAAGTTGGTGACTCTGCCAAGGTTTTTAGTCAGTAGGAAATCTGAAATTAAAATGAAGTCTTTTGACTTCTGGGAAATAGATTTTTATGTATTTTTTCAAAAATTAAAATTCATCCATATTTATAGACAATTTTTTAAATTTTCAAGGCAAGCGGGGTGGATGTATGTGTGTGTGAGTGTGTGTGTGTGTGAGTGTGTGTGTGTGTGTGCGCCCATGTGTAGAAATGGAAAGACTATAAAAACACAGAAAGAAATTCAAATGACCTATCACAGAGGAGTATAGAAGAGAAATAACCCTGTCTACTAACTGCAAGGAAATGCCAGGCTCAGTTGGTCACTTTGTAATCACTGAGAGGAAGCCATGCTCACAAGAATATAAGAAATTTCCCTGCCCAGTTTCCAAGCAGGACATAAAAGGATGAGCCATCCCTCTTCAACCTAAGCTTGGTGTGTGCATTGAGACCAGCTTCCCTGACCAAGCCACACAAATCCTCCTTTGTTTTCCCATCATAGAAACTGTAGAAACTGATCAGATCACCTGTGTGGTGTGTGCCTATATCTTTTTTCTTGTGCCTGTCCCAGAGGTTATGGGATGAACTAACAAAGAAGAACAAAACATAGATATATATCTCTGTTTTCTGTGGGGAGGGAAAGGTCAGACAGGGATATTAAGCAGTGACTGATAACATGATATTAGTAATAATAATTATGCAATTATCCCAGACTTTTCTGTATTATTGTAAAAGAATCATAAGATTCTGGAGTTTGCATAAGGTCAACTAAGGATAAAAGGACATAAAGGCTTTCAGTGGTTGAAGAACCTGAAAAGAGATGTTTTTACATAAAAAATTATCTTGCTTTTTCCCTTTACTGGTAAGACGAGAGACACAAAGAGATAAATGGAGCAACAGTTAATTCAGGAAGAACAACTCCTATAATTTCAAGAATTTTTTTTGTATTTTAGCGGACAGAAAAAAAAAGGAAGAAAGAAAGAAAGGTGGAAGGAAAGAAGGAAGGGAAGAAGGGAGGGAGGGAGGGAGGAAGGGAGGAAGGAAGGAAGAAAGGAAGGAAGGAACAAAGACAGAAACAAAGGGGAAGAAAGGGAGAAAGAAGAAACTAAGAATAATTTTAAAAAGAAAGAGACACAGATGTATAAATACTGTATGTGTAAATAAGGACTAAAGTATATAATATTGTGAAATAGAAAATGTTCAAATAGGAAGGAGAGCTGGGGATGGTGGAGGGGGAAAAGAAACATAATGAGAAAAGAAGGAAAAAATGGAAACAAAGCTTTTGTAAATAAGAAGGGAAGGGAGGGCAGGTGGGGGGAATGGGACAAAAAGAATCAAGTTGTGTCATGTACAGGTACAAATTCGCTATGATGAATGCGACTATTGTGTATACCTAAAATGTATCAATAAGTATAATTAATCAAAAAGAAAGAGAGACTTTCTATTTTCTAGATTAGATTTAGACAGAACTCAACGGAAAATCCTTCATGTGTCTTCAAGGAGGTGAGGAGCTGAGTAAGAAAGGAGGTACATGCCTGAACTCACGAGGAGCCCTGGCTCCTGACTGATATGTGTATCTGTTACACTCAAGAGATGTAAAGAACTCTCCCCAGTAGTTAATTAAAGATGCTATTTTCTCTAGTTAGTGATAGTCTAACCCGTAAATTCACCTATCTCACATTTTAACAGGAGATGTTAACATTTTTTTAAAAAGTTGAATAGATAGCAGGACTCCGGAAATGCAATCACGATTCATATAATCCTTGTTAGCATGATAGCTTTTGCATTGGACATGATGCACAAATTTTCATATGTAAGGGTAGGACTGGGAAAGAGGACAGAATACAGTCACTTATCAAAATGTGCTATTCCCTTGAGAAGAGAAGAAATTAAGGACCCTGGCATCTCAGTGGATGAAGCAAACCCTTCCACACCACTTCTCCACTTTCTCTTTCTCCTCTCTCTCTCTCTCTCACCCACTTTTCAAGATAAAAGTCAAATTTTATCTCCTTTATATATATATCCCTTGTGTCCTAATTTCACTTCACTTACCCTCATCACTGAAATTCTGCTGCATAGTATTCGTGTGGTTCATTCATCGGGCAGATATCCTCCAGTATAATGTAACTTCTCTCCTCCCAAAAACATTTCAAATCTTTAACTCCAAATTCCTCACATCGATTTGATCTCCCATTTCCCAGGAAACAATAGCTCTTTTAGAGAAGTAATCCTTTTTTCGGCTTTTCTTTTACTTTTAAACAGAAACAAAATTTCAAAACAAGATAATAGGAAGGTAACCATGGTTAATACATCGGGTATTGTTATCTTTAAAGTAGTTACTCAGAGTACAAGATAATCAGCATTTACTTGTCCAAACAATATTAGCACAAACATTTCTTTTCAATGAACTAAGAAAAATTAGTAGTATAATTATCTTAACTATCATATATATATACTGCTTTTCCCTTCCTTCTTCATGCAAGGAATTACAGGGTATATAGAAGTCTTAAGATACAGTTCCTTACAAAAGGTACTAGTCATAAGTAATGATATAGTGCTAGTAAGCATGGTAGTGATAAATAAACAAATACATGTTAAATAAGAATGCTTTATCCTATTAATTTCATTTCACCTTTCACGTCCTGTTGAATACCTATTAGTTACTCTCCCCTTGTCTTGGGAGGGAGCTCCTTTCCTCAGGCAGCAGCGGTGTTTTACATCCACCAAGCACTGAAATTGCACGGCGGTTGCACAGCTCCTCGAGCTTCTCGTCTACCATGTGTGACAGCACGTCTCTCCACGTTACGACACCTCCAAGTTATTCCTCTGGGACCTAGTTCATGAAAGATGAGATTCGGGCTGCAATGGTTTGCTAGGGAAACTACTAATATCGTGAGTACTCAGGCTAAGATAAATTGGACCATGAGTTAATAACATTTATTAAGTCCAGCTTTTCTTTTCTCCTGCCATTTCATTAGGCTTCTCTGGAGACTTGAGGTCAGGATCAAAATAAAACCATGTTCTGCTCCCAGACAGCTCAGGCGCTTGTCTGTGATCCATAAGTAAATGAAGAAGTAAGAATACGAAGGGAAAGATGTCGCAACACTGATGCTGCCTGAACAAGACCGCTCAGTATGCAAAGCAGTCTTACTCCAGAGTTTAGGATTGTATTGTGTTGATGATTTGTTTCTTTCTTTTATTCAAATTGCATGTATTTTGAATGATAGAGATTAACAATGGAACATGATCTTTCACAGCCCTATGGTAAGTCGCTTAAGATCCTCGTGAGAAAAGCAGGGCTGTCCGCAGGGACTGTTGCACATTTCTTTGTTCTACCATCTTCACCCTAAAATACGCTCCTCTCCATTTGCCCAATGCCTGACTTTTGCAGCTTTAAGAAAGTGTCCTGCAGACAAAGAGGCCGAGGAAACTTTCCACATTTCTTAGGCCAGGACCCGTGAGAAGCAAGGTCGGGAACCCAGCCCCGCTGGGAGGCTGCGACATTCCCAAGGTTCTTGACAAGACTATGAAGTCCTCACTGGTCTGAAACTTGTGGCAATCCTCCTGCCTCAGCCCCCACGTGCTGGGCTTGCAGGTGTGCACCAGCAAGCCCAACCTGAAGTGACATTTTGTTCTCAGTATGATTTTGGTACGACCTGTGAGACAAGCATACCTGAAATCCAGTGGACAAAATTGTGTGGATTATGTAAGGATACTGCACCGGGAGCAGGGCAGAGATGGTCAGCGAATGTTGGGAGAGGGTGGCAGACTGTCTAGCACACTCATTTGTAAAAACTTTCTGAACTATGTTTTCATATAAATCTGTAAGTTAGTATATCAGACTTTTAAAATTGTCTTTATTACCAGTTTTTATTGTATGCTTACACATGCACACAATAATAACAGTGTAGATAAAACAGATAACACATGTATTAAATTTGCCCTCTCCTATACAGCTTACAGTCTACTAAGTTAAAGTTACAAAAGTTAAAGGATAAACTCAGTGTGGTGACCCACACCTGTAATCTGAGCATTCCAGGACGCTGAGACAGGAGGATCTCAAATTCACCCCACTTTGGGCAATTTTACAACTTAGTGAGAACCTGCCTCAAAATAAAAATTAAAAAGTGCTGGAGATGTAACTCAGCACGAAGGACCTGGGTTCAATCTCCAGTACAAAGAAAGATTAAAAAAAATGCAGAATTGAACGTAGAAGGAAAATTCATAATGGTCGCATATTTCAAATGACTTTGAAATGAGATGTAAGACAATAGTTGGACAAAGAATAATCCCATTGCTTTTCCAGATCACTGGAAAACAGACAAGGTTTCCTAGATTTTTCTCTTATTCAACCCTTGTTCCTTCCAGCTCCATCTCCCTCCACTATGCCTGAAGCTAAGGTCAGTTATAGCAGGCACCGAGAAGATGCGACAGGTTCTCTCCAGATCTGCTCCCTCATCTCTTAGCCCTTAGCTAACGGATCATTTCCTAAACCAGTTGAAGCCCTCAAATGATAATGTTTGACAGTGTTTTGTACTTCTTTTATTGAAAAATCACTGCACTATAATGTGAAAGCTACTATTAATTAATCCACCTTTAGGAATCTCCACCTTAGGAGAATAAGGTATAGATAGAGGAATTATTCAATCACATAACTAATAACTGGTAGAACAGGTATTCACTGACTACCTTTTGACTGTTAAAACAAAGGCCAGACTTCTTTAAATTGGCATAAAAAGACCTTCACAACTTGCCCTCCTCCAGGACCCACCTGTATCTCTAGCTATTTCCTGTATACAATGCTATTGGCTGTATTAGGTCCACTTCTCCACCCATATTTCCAAGCCCTAAGCCACAACGTGACAGTATTTAAAAGTGGGGCTTTTAGAAGGTCATTAGGGTTGGGTGAAATCATGAGGCCAGAACATTAAGGATGGTGTTAGTATTTCAATAAAAAGAAGTAAAGAAAGATTGCTTCCTGTTCCATGTGAAGCCTCCAAGAAGGTGCCATCTACCTAGTAGGAAGAGGGCCCTGCCTAGAAACGTATGGATAGGCACACTGATCTTCAACCCCCAGCCTTCAGAATGTGGAGAAATAAATTTCCACTGCTCAGACTGCTGTGGGCAGGGATTTTATTATGCTAAACCAACCTATACCCATGGGGTATGTCTTGCTACCAAAACCCAAATCACCTTCCTCTGAGTGAATGTACCTAAGGCTGAGGACATCACACCTGTGCTTAGGTTTTTCTCTCTCTTTTTCACATTCACTGAGAACATTTCTACCTCCACACACCTCCCCACCTCCACCCTGAGTAGCTCTGTCTTCATGAAACACTCTGTTCGTTTTTGAAGACCAGCTCAATGTAGCATTTTTAAATTTCTTCCCAACCAATTTAGTTCATTTTGTATGCAGTGAAGTGTTCATTTTCCAAAAAGCACTTACAGAAATGGGGTGTCGCCTGCCATAGCTAACATGCCTTAAACTCAAGGGTACGGTGTTTCACAAGTGAGGTCTTACTGCATTAGAATCTCATGGGATGATTAATAAAATTTGAACAGCTGAGATCCACCCAAGTCCTGCTCCTTAGGTCTTTGGGGAACATGTCCAGAAGTTTGCATTTTTGTTAGCTCTTTAGGGGAATTCCTAAGCATGCTACCTCCTTGGACAACTTACTTGTTCATCTACTTTAGCTCTTTACTGACATGACATCTTCTCCGGTACAGCTCTCTGATTATCCTGGGTGAAACTGTAGCCTCTGTTTCCCAATACTCTGTATTCCTTATCCCCCTTTCCTACCTGACTCTTACCCCCAGGGTTCGTCACTAGCTGAAACTCTCTGTATGTTACTCATTTATTGGTTGGCCTGCCACCCCTCAGCTTGCTTCTCAGCTACTACAATGGAAAGGATGAAAGCAGGAATTTTTTAAATATGTTCTACTCACCACTGTAAGCCTGAGACCACTCCCAAAGTCCTCAAACATTACAGTACTCTGTTAAGTATTTGTCAAATAGATGAAGAAATCATTCTGCCAAGTGTTTTCACTCTGTAAACTTACAGATCTATTTTCTAACCTTTTTTTCTCCATTAAAAGGGATATCAAAACTACCCCACCCCAAAAAAGGAAAAACAAAAAAAAAAGCACTGCAAATTTTGGATCTATAGGCAGGTTTCTTTGAAATACACCTTGTTTGTGTTCTTCACCCTACAATCCAGCTCTTTTTCCTCTGTATAGTCACCATCTTTGCATTTTTTGATATCAAATTCTGAGGTCAAAGATTGGGTAAGGATAAAAGCAGAGGAAAAAAATCAAGATGTGTCAACCTTAATGGCAGCAATAAATAATGTTTTGCTAAAAGCTGCCTAAGAATAGAGGGCACAGTCTATGTAGGAGTATGTAAATGGTATGCAAATTAGAATCTAATTTTAATGCAAATGCATATGTGGTCCTCCTATTTCATGCACCTGGATAGAACCCCAGGAAAATTCTGGTGGAGAGAAATGTGCTCTCAGCAATGTTTTAATGACTGGGTGTATTATCGAGCGGTGGGGACCACACCTGGCATATATTACAAGGTCTGCTAGTTCGCTGCTAAAAGAAAGCTCCTGTTCACAAAACACTGCTTCTCAGCTTTGATAAGCCACCAATCTGAGTCACACATGTCTTAACTTACCAACTCTGTAAGTGGGTATGACACTGCTCGGCCTCAGGCTAGTGGGAAGTGGTTATCAGTTAACATGTCCTTTAAAGCACACCATGTGTACAAATTTTGGAGTCAGAGCTACTGCTAAATGTAAATTATTCCACCTCGGAGCTATGGTCACATTTCACTATAAAACACCATCCAGCCTGTCTGGAGGGTGGGAATTTGCATACCATTATTAATATGAGTTTTATAAAATGGAAAAAGAAATTGTAGGATAAAATGATGCATGTGTCAGGTCAGATAAGTTTGTCATTATTATCTTTAGAGTTTGACCAAAGCAAAATCAATGAAGGCTTATCAGGCATGGTAGTATATGCCTGTAATTCCACCAACCCAGAGGCTGAGGCAGGAGAATTGCTGAGTTTGAGGCCAACTTGGGCTACATAGTGAGTTCCAGGCTTAGGAACTCACTAAGTTTAGGATGCACAGCAAGAAACTATCTCAACAAACAGCAACAGAAACAAAGAAGAAATAAAAGCTCAAAGGAAATGTTTTAGTTCAACGGCCACAAATGGGAGACAAAGGGACCACCATCCTGTAACATTATAATGCTGTGTGATTTGTCTTCATTTTGAGAAGGATAATCATGAAAAAATACCACCTTATGATTCTGTATTTCTAGAGTGCTTTATTGTCATTAACTATTGTCAATTAAGTACTGTATTATCCTATTAATTTTTGTCATACCTAGATAGGGTTTTTCACTTCCCATTTTTAAAAGAATTTTCTGGGGAAACACTTTTTATTTTCTGTTTTTTTTTTAAGTTTAACTAATACATAAAAACATAAAAGTCGTAGCCCGATGAGGAGGCCTATGACTGTAATCCCAGCTCTGGGGAGGCTGAAGGAGGAATATCACTGGGAGTTCAAGGTCAGACTGTGCCACACAAACAGATGCTATCTCAAAAAAAAAAAGAAAAGAAAAAATTGTATGTATTTCTACGGTACTGTGTGATGTTTCAAAACCTAATTATTAAGTCAGATTTTTTTCTGGGCATTCTGACTGATTCAGAGTGTTCAGGGACCTGCCTGCACCCAGGCTTGGAGTACTGTATGGAATATATGTCTTGTAGCATCAGTGGTAACAGAAAAATGCTCTGAGCCATGGAAAGACTTTCGCCTGGAGATGCAGGATTCCCAGAGAGCAAACACCTGATAGCACGGATGCTAACAGCATGCTGAGTTTTTTCTTAATTGTGGGGCTTTAAAGTCAGGGGGTTGTTGCTGTGACCTAGTTCCTAAGTAGAATCTTCTGGCTGCTGGCAGACACAAAATGTGGAACAAATCTAAACCCATGCTCTGTGGTGTGCTCCAAAGACAAATAGCATTAGCAATAGATCATAAACCCAAACTCATCGGCTGCAACCTGGATCTACTGAATTGCAACCTCTATTGTGTTTTCTGTTACTTTTTAAAATTTTTTGCTTGTCTGTTTGGGGTTTTTTGAGAGAAATCACTATGTAATTCAACCTGGCCTTAAATTTACTATGCAGCCTATGGATGACTTGAACTTTCAGTAACCCTGCTGCCTCAGCCTCCCCAGTGGGATTACAGGCATGTGCCACCACACCCAGGTATAATGTCTATTTTGCTAATTCTTCAGGTGATTATTCTGGATATTATAGTTTGAGAAGAATTATTTAAAGAGAAATATTTCCTAATATAGGCACATCAGACAGAGTTGATTTAAGTAAGCCACTGAGCTCACAGTTACATCCTACCAAGGACTCAAAGAAAAAGCCACTGTGGATGGAAATAAACCAAGAAAAGTAAGCCATATAGTTAAATATCTCATATTGAAAATGTAAAACACAGGGCTCAGACCAGATATTCATCAGCCCTTTAAAACAGAAGGAAGCAAAACAACAAGCAAGCAGGACAGCATGATAGGGAGTGAAAAAGCACATTGGAAACATAAAACATCTGCATATATGTATACTGATGTACTGATATGTAGTAGCTCTAATAGTTTCAACAACCTGCAGTCCCACCAACAGTATACGAAGGCTCCATTTTTTCAGCATAGTCATCAACATTTACGCTGTAAATTTTCTAAAATAGCCTCTCTGCCTAATGGATGTGAGCTTGCATCGGTATTGGTTTTGTTTTGCGTTTCCCTAGTAATTAATGATGTGTTGGCCATTTTTCTGTCTTCTTTGGAGAAATGTGTATTTAAGCCCTTTGCCCTTTTAAAAACTGGCTTATTTGGCTTTTTTTACTATTGAGTTGTATGATTTTTTTTATAGATTATACATATTAACCGCTTACCAAGTATACAGTCTGCTAATATTTTTTCCCAATCTACCGGTTGACATTTCATTTCACTATGTAGAAACATTTTTAAGCTTTTATTTGTTTTTGCTTCTGTAGTCTCAGCTTTTAGTGTGATAACCAAAAAATCATTACCAAGGCCAATGTCAGGGAGCTTTTCCTCTATGTTCTCCTCTAGCAATTTTAGAAATCCCTCTTCTGGACACATTCCCAATAAAAATGAAATGACAACCTCATAAAGATGTCTGTAGTTTCTTGTTCATTGT